TACACGCGACACCCCGGCTGTGTGGATGGCCGTCCCGCCCTTCAGTAACGTCGTTTTCGCTACTAATTTCGGCGCGGCACATTTCGTATAGCGGTAACTGCATAGCACGCGTTCGTATCTACACGCGTGTGTAAACTATTTTTTGTCAGACGGGAGGAATGTTTCGTGACAAAAAGTTATCTTTACCGTGACACTTAACGGCAGGGGGACAGAAATGTGTGTCTGGGTCGGGCTCGTAATTCACGCGGCTCTTATCTACAGCGATCGCTTCTCCAAATTTGATTTAAAGCCGACAGCGGGAATGGGATCGCGTAAGCTCGATTTGTTTCACGTTTTTGATTAATTCGGATAATAAAGCCTGGTCGAAACTTGAGACACTCGAGAAAAAGAGTCACGGTCGCGACGTTTATTCCAGTTAACCATTTGTACACGTCGTAACCTGATCTATACCAATTTTTTCCGGACTCGGTAACGGTTCCCCGAGGAATAAAGTGAGAAACGCGCGTAAATAACGCTAAAAGCGTTCGCGACCTGTGTGTAATTAACGAAAACGAAAAACAGTTTCAAGCGCAGCAACTTAAACGCGGTAACGAACGTTGAGAGGTTCCCTATGGAATTCCACGAAAGCGCCGCGCCATACGGACAGGAGTTACGAACGCCTGTCGTGGAAACTTGTTTTTCTTCCTTTTTTCTTGCCTCTCGAGCCGGGGTGGGTTACCAGTAATTGGAGCCCAGCGAGACGGTACTGTCCGATGGAATTGCCACGTTCGACTTTTCTTCGTTACCGGAACTTGGAATCTATCGTTCAGTCTCGAGTGGAGTCGTCTGCGAACATCCGACCATCTCACTCTCGAGCTTCCGCTTTTGAATATTCCAAGAAACACTTTGTCTTGTTTCGTCGATTAGGATTTTAACCAAAATTTTTTTTATGTAATATCGAGTATAAATTATAAATGGATTTCTATTTGTATCCATGCACGCGCTGGGACTATAAAGGGTGATCCACTCGATCGATTTACTCCGTTCTTTTTTCCTCTTTCATTTTTTTTTTTTTTTATTTCTTTCGCTCCTCTTTATTGAACCGGGTCGGCGACTGGCCGAGTTCGATGGATGTTCAGTTTTAATATTGATCACACCCGGAACAATATCCCCTGGTGAAGTTAGAAAAAAAATTCTCCAACTCTCACGGAAACAGATTTTATTCAGACCCTCGAATAAAAGTGGTGTCGGCCGAGCCAGTGGTCGGGGGCTGGGTGTGGATTTGAATAGAACCCCCGAGAATTGGTGTAACGATTTTTCCGATTGTATTCTCGCGGATACTACTACCACGTTTCACTCCCGTTTTCTCTTTCTCTCGCGGCAGCTACCTATATTCGTCAGTTTAGACGCGCGGAGGAAATAATTAGGGACGGGAATAATTGTGTGCGATTGCGACAACCGAGTTTTAAAACTGCGTTTCAAAGTTGCATGCCACGGCGGCACCGCGGAAGATTAAAGTTAGGGAGGTTAATAAATTGCCGAGGCATTTGAATTTCAAATGGGCGTAATTAAAAATTTCGACCGCCACCGGTGCCGGGACGTGGGAGAGGGGAAAAAGTAGATAGGGACCACCGTTTTGGATTACGTCCCAATCTCTTTAAAATTCGTCTGCCTGCCGAGCGGAAAAGTTGCCAAACTTTGTAACCTTGCCGCGTTTCATTAGGGAACCGATAGGCTGAACCTCCTCTTCCTTGTTTTTATTAATTCGTCCCGTCGTTTTAGGAAGAGCGTATAGAACGATACGTCGTTGTTCTTTTTCTTTTACGTCGCGTTTCGAGTGTCACGAACACGGCACAGAACCTGGGGTTGATAGACAGAATTCTCGATGAAACGAATGGACGCGTGACTGTTTCACCGAATCGTTTCTCTGTTTTCAGCGAGCGTTGTTTAATCCTCGCCTTTCATAACGTACGTGATGTCGATCCGATGGACCGAGCCAATCCAATCTCGACGTCTTATAAATCCGAGTTTACGAACGCTCTCTTAAATAGAAGCGCGTACTTTCAGGCGAATAAAATTAAGATAGGCTACATTATTCCACCTGTAGTTACATTTGTGGATTAAACTTTTTACTTTTTCTGCAACCGGAGCTTTTGTGATTAATGAACATTCCGTTTCTTTATCTCCACTTTGAATACCGAACTCGAAGCTATTTCAAAGACTGCAGTCTCTCTCACCGGCGCGCAGCAATTTCTTCATCAATCGCACTTGTCGATCCGAAATGCGTCTTCCGTAAACTTCTAACTCTCGTCTCGCTCGGTTGCGTGTACAATCCCGCTGGAAGGATGCCCCGATACAGATTCGCGTTCATCTCCGCGGGTATTATTTATTCAGTCAATCTTGCGGAAGAAGCGAGCCAAACGAACTTTTCCCTCCCCTTTTTTCGCCGTCTCCATGAATGATTTATGAACGAGAAATACCGCTACGGGCTTCCCCGCGAATCCTTTTTTTTTTCTCTTTAGATGCCTCCTCTCTCCCATTGCGTGCGGCCGCGAGGAGAACTTTCGCAAAGTTTCTCGCCGTTTTGTATTTCCATAATGAAATCGCATCGTCGTCTTCGCGCCTCTCCGACATGTCCTAGCGGCTTTGCCAGGAAACCACTTTAATATCCGAAATAATCCGTTCGACACACGATTAGAACATTCGATTCTTAATTGAAAAGAAACTGGTCAACGAATATCTAGGAAAGCTTTAAAACGAAACATGGGCCGGTATTCAGAGTCGTTGCTTATTCTTAAGATCGTTTTAAGAATTTGCTATCCCTGTCTATCCCATATTTCCAGTCCTTGTCTCGTACAGGGAACAGGGACTTAAGCAAATGCTTAAGACGATCTTAAGAATAAGCAACGACTCTGAATACCGGCCATGGAAATTTAGGCTGACGCCAGTAGCCCGGACCTTACTTTTGGTTCGCCCGTTGTCCTGCAACGCGTTAACGACGAACACCTGTTGTTTCATTTCTTCCGCATTATCCCTGAAACCATCGTTCCCGTAACGATATCAGAAGGTGCTGCTGTTTTTCATGACACGTGACCGTTGTTTATGTACCTCACTTTAAAGTCATTTACGTGGCATTCTTCGTTTCGGATTATCCTGTCTGTCGAGATATCGTACCCGCGGATGTGAAGCAACGTGGACATCGGAGACGTATCTCGTTTTTCTACCGGTCGTACGCAAAACCTCGAGAAACGTTACGCGCGGCATTATTGTTCCCTCATCCGTTTCCTCGAAGGTGGCTATTATTCACGGTCGAATAATCTCGTCGGAGTCGATTGCCGGGCCACACAAACGCGGTATTCATATTCTCCGCCTGGAGAAGAAAAAATTGCGTCCACGTAACGGACATAAAAACGTAAACACGTCTGGCGATAAGACGCTTCGTCTCTTTCGCTCTCGCGAGTACAACCGATTCGTTATTCCGGCAGTCGAAACGCGAGTAGAGTTTACGGTTTTGTGCAACGATAGGAGGTATAGGCTCGCTGGGGAAGCGGGGGCAGGTTCCTTTTTCGGAGAAGCGTTTAACTCGAAACAGAGGCCGTCGCAACGCGAGCGTGTGTGTTCGTAAACGAGGGAACCCTCGGATCGTATGCACGACTGACCTTTCGGAGTCTTTTGGCCCTTTCGCGATTTTTGTCCTCGGACGCATCGGAACGAGAAAATACTATTCCGGTCCACGTACGGGGGCAAGCTCGCGTGAAATTGCGCGGCCGTCGGCTTCCGAGAAAGGGACACCCTCGCAAGGCTGCTGCGGTACGCGTAAGTCGTTACACGAGGATAGTAACGTTCGATAAACAGCTTTGCCGAAATGAACATTTATGTCTGCCGTCGCGACGGGCACGTTGCAAGGAGGACGATATAGGAAACCGTGGGTGAACGCGATGATTGCCATGGGCCCCGACGAGTCCGAGCTTCCAGGTTTAACGACTTTTTCCCACACGCGTTCTCGTCGGTAATAAAAACGGTGGTGGCCCGTATGACGTTATACGTACGTGGCCTACGAAGCCATTGACCTGAGTATTTTTAGATACGCGTTTCTGCTAAATCTATTATGCATCGCGTTATTTAAGGCGTTCAGTGTCCGGACGACTCCCTGCCTTTACGAACAATCCACTCTGCTATTATATTATTTAAACGGTTCATCGTACATCGAACGCAGCGCCAGACTCTACCACTTAATTTTCATTCGTTAAATGACGCGACATTTCCATACGGTTAAACGAACCGTCCTTTCATTTGCACTTGAACGGGACGCGGTGAACGCGATCCGTCAGCTACCGAAACGAAATTTTTCTTTCCCTATTGTTACACGTAACTCGTGACGCGGTCGGGAACGTTCGTTCACGTAGGTAGCTCGTTTATATTTAAATGAACGGTTGATTCGATATCGCGACGAGACGCGTGCGCTTCGGTCCTACCCGTCCCGGGATGCGTGAACACGTGAAACGGTCCCGTGACTGGAGACTGTTATCGAATACGAAAGCGGAATACCGAGTCGACGGAATACCCGACGAGATCGGAATATTTCTTTATCGCGTTCCATCCTACGTTTCTTTTACCCTCGACCGCTGCGTGTCACGCGCATCGTAAATAACGCGTGTAATTACCCCCGACGCGTCGCAAACTTTACCCTTCGGACTAAAATATTCGAGGCGCGACGCGCACAAAAACGAGAGCCGCGCTTATGCAAATTAACAGCCGGTGAATTTTACGCCGCCTCGATTATCATCTGGCGGGCATGTCGTTGCTTCACCCCGCGTTTACGAGCAAGCGGGGACCGAATGCGATTTGTCGTAAAAATGATCAGGCTCGCTCATTAGCGCTACCGACTAAACGCCGAAGGGGAAACGCGTTTATGGGAGAATTTTCATAAGGATCGCAAACGAAATTTCCTTGATCCGAACATATTTTCCCACGTTCGACTCGATCGAGTATACCAACGGCCAACGTTATTCTATTTCCAGATTACGGCGATGCACGGGTGCTTTCTCGATGGCTCATAGCGGCACGCTTCTAATTAGCGATATTATCCCATTTCGCTTATTAGAAGCCGTAAAAACATGAAGATCGATCTCGTCCGGTTCCACTTTACCTAGGACGGGCCACGCTTCCAGTCTAGATTCTCGTAAGTAGATATTAATTATTATTACCAGGCTGTTGAGTTTTATGCAATATTCATAATATCAATTCGTTTGGTAGACGGAATAGTTTTACACTTTAAACGCAGCATTTGATTGAGTTTTCTTCTATGCATAAAACTCGCGTCTATCTGTTGTTACACACAAATGTTAGCATCGCGTTGTCTATTTTGTACTTTACAAAACCGGGCAATAATGGATTTTTCCACTTACGACGGGTTGATAAACCTGGATAATATAATCCTGTAAAAACAGCGTAGCTCTCGGGACGAGGCAATAATTGCGGGATCGGCGGTCGTCTATCGCGTATCGTTAAATCGATCGGCGTTCGTCGGTCGTAAACGCCACCTTTAAACGCGTCGGCGCTAATTTATCGCCCGCTGTTATTTACCACCGATCGAGTGTTAAAATCACAATGGAGATTTGTCCATTGCCCGGTTCGGCGTTATCCTTTTTCGATTTACGAGACCGCCGGTTGTTTTCACGTCAGTCCCGTCGAATTTTGCGCTCGGTTTCCCGCTTATCGCGGCTCGGCAAAGTCCCGGCGATGATCTCGGCGCTGTTTTTTCGCGGGATCACTCGGTAGACCGTTAACGAGATTAACGGGGCGACGGGAAAGGGGCGGAGAGAAGACAGATGGGGAGTGAGAGATTTTTGAACACCGCGTGCCTCGCGAGGTTTATTGATTGTCCCGCTTGCATTTCATGAATTATTTATCGCGGAGCGATCGCACAGTCGCCGCGGTCGAATTTGATATTTCAATAAATTTTCATAAAAACGAGCTCCCGTCGCGATCGTCGCGCGGCTCTCGACGCCGAGAGGGAGGAGCGGCGGTGGTCTCTCGTTTGGGACGCGTGATCGAAATATATAATATGCAGAAGAGAAGTTCGATTTATCGCGAGACGGAACCCGGAAGGCGGCTGCGCGCGAGGCTTACGCTTCTGGACGAATCAAACTTTCATCCTCCCGGTCGCTCGCAGCCGATCGAACCGAACGGGGCAAAGGACAACTCCGGAAAATCCTGGAGACGGAATCTGGAATGAAATGAAATTTTTCGGTCCCCAAGGATCCCGAGAAAACCCGAGTGCCTCTATTTGCTTAAGCTCTCGCGGACGGCTCCTCCTTTTCCACCTCGAAACTGGGAAATTTGTCATATCTAGACCGCGGATTTTCATGCGAAATAAGACATTCGTCCCAGTCGGTTAAGAACAAAAGGTAGCGTATTGCGATACGTATTTTCTTTTTCACCTCATCAAGTCTTCGTATAAACGCGTAAAATCCGCTTTCAAACTGGCTTTCTCTTATATCTGATTTTCGGGGAGAAATGAAACGCACGAACGAAAATTAAACGGTGGGAAGAGTGGAATTTCCCGCGATGAATAACGTCTATCAATTTGTTATACTAATTTAGCGTGAATCGTCGGGGATTCGTGGCGTTACCCGTGAACCGCCGATGACCCAAATTACCGTGTAACGATGCGTCGGATTAACGTCGTCCCATCTACCGGTGCTAAGACGGTCCCTAGATTCTAATTAGTCGTAAAATTGGAAAGAAAATGAGAAGGAGAATTTATTAACGGTTATTAACCATTTAAACGGGTAAAAAAGTGTTTAAGTTGGTGTTAAGAACGAGGAGAAATGGGATCTACTATTAGGTTTCGGATCGACTACCGATATAAACTAATTGCGTTCGCGAGTTAAAACTATCATCGTTCACGGTTGTTTATGCATACGGTAGAAAATTGCATGAAAAATTCATAGTCTCACTCTGGCGTGCGTAAACCAACTTCTATATCATTTTTCCCTTTCTCTTTTTTAATTTGAACTTTACCGAAGAGAGCACGGAAAACACGCTACGTGCCTCTGCTTTTTTCTTTTTTTCTCAATGAGCGCGCTGGCAAAGGAATAGTCGCTGAAACGGTAACGAAGAGAGAGAGAGATAGAAGGAGGATAATCGCCGGACTGAAAAATACAAGTTTTTAATTAAATTGCATCGAAAGGCTTGTTCCGCGCGGAACGAGAGCGTGGGCGCGAACGTGATCGCGTTCGCGGCCGATAGCTCTGTTTGTCGAACACTCTGCACTCCGCGCGCTCGTCGAAAAGAGCGGAATTAAATCGGGGCTCGGGATAATCGAGGCCATAGATCGAATAATGTTTCGCGCAGCCAGGGATTCGTTTTGCGTAAAAAAGGGAGGGGAAAAAGCCCGGCCGGAGTTCGATGCCGCGAACGTTGTTTGCCCGCAACTTCGGTCAAAGCGAAACATTTTTGCGTTTAGCCGCAGATAAAAATTATAACGACGCTGTTTTTATTCGAAAGTCGCGTTGTTTCTCCGATTCCCACGTCCGCAACGGCCTTAACCGGGAGAAGGGTAATCGTGCTATAAAAACAGGAAAAAATAGGCAGGTAGTACGTGCGCGAGTGGACGGACACGTAAGCACATGCGCAACAGATATACCAGCGATTCCATTTACGGGACTCGTTAGCGCTCGAACCGTGCACGAATGATAATTAGCTTGGCCCGTACAAAGCCTGCCTTCTCTGTCTTCCCTTCTCCCTCTCCCTTGTGTCTCTCTTTCTCTTTGGATGCGTTCGGTGTTCTCTCGTAATAAGGGCCGCTGAGGGGAAAAGCCGGGTTTCCTTTCCGTGTCGAGGTCGTCGGTCCATTCTTCTTCTCCGACTCGGTGCCGCGTGGAAATCGGAACGCTGTTCGGAGCTTCGAATTCATTTGTCTCGGGGGCGACTCGTCACAACCCTTTTTTCGTTCTCCCGCTGGCATAGTTTCGTTCTCCCGCAGACATCTGTTCAAGACCTCTTATTCTGGGTGCCAATTTTTCTCTTCAAGCTTCGGTTTCGACGCGTAGTCCCCTTCGACGATGAGCAAGAATTTCCTTTGCTAGCGGGAGATAAATTCTGGAGAACAATTGACAGACCCGGTAGGGGAAGCTGAGCCCGTTGAGAGTAGCTCGTTCGGGGTAAAAAACTCGATGTACGCGCGTTAAACGTGCGAAGGGTGAGTCGAAATTAATTCGTCCGTACGCGGTATCAATTTTCGAGTATCATCGCCGCGATTCCGAGCGGCAATATCAATTGCGTGGCTCTCCTTGTCGGACAATACCAGCGCGGTACAACTCGCCGCGAGACAGGAGGGGACCTTTTAATTAGCGCGGAACAGAAGTAGTCGCGAGCAATAACGGAAAACTAAATGCACAACGGCGCGTATATAACGGGCCTTTTTACCATCCGGTTCTACCGTATCGCGATTCCCCTCGCAACCCACTCGAGGGAATCCATGGATTTTTTTTTTTTTTCAAATCAAGTCGCTCTTTCGTTCGGTCGAACGCGCGGTTTCAATTCCTGGTATCCAAAGTGAACGCGCGAAAGGTCGATCAGAGACGACAGTCGTCGTGGAAAAGTTTCAAGGAAGATCGAGGCGATGAGGTTCGAGATCCGCGTCCAGCTACGGTGCCGGCATGAAAAACAAGCTGCGGGCGATAGGCCAAGGTATGCGACCGAGACGGGCAGGTGAACGTCGATGAGAATCCATTTATAGATAAGCACGATAGGGGACACCTACACCTGAAGAAACGACGAAACGTGACGAAGTACAAAGAGAATTATCGAAGGGAGCGACGAGCTTCCACGACCATTTAGGAAATAAGGAACGGAGAGGTTCTCGATTATTCAGCATCGAGATTCGCGATCGACTCCTCCTTTCGCCGCTCGTTATATATCTTGGTTCTAACCGCGTTCACAGAGACTCTGATTCTTCGAAACGAGGAGAGGGATAGAAGAAACGGGCGAAGACGGATGGGAAGAGAGAAAAGGCGCGTCTCAGGTATATACCACCCTCGCCAATTAACCGCCCCTCTTCGTCCCGAGTCACGAATCGCTGAACGTAAGGGAGCGCGCATCGGATATGAAAGAGATAGGAGAGACGAACTGCGAACGCGGCAGACGCGCGGGGACAAATCCGTGTAATTGGTATTAAACAAAGGGTAGAGGAATGGAACGGGAATGAAAGGTCGTTAAGTTTTGTACTTTGTGAGCGGAGCTTTTTTGTTCCACATGAATTATCCGTAGTTTCAATTCTGAAGATCAACGAGAAGAAGAAGAAGAAATCTGCGTGGAATATTCGGAAAAAAGATTTATCCGTAAGAACGCGTTTCTCGTAAGATTTCATTTGAAAAGATGAAAGCGATCGCTATGTATTCGCTCTCGGGTAAGACGGAGGCGAGGAGCACTCGACGAAATCGGCGACGAATCGATTCTCTGTTTCCGTCGGTTCGAGGCACTCGAGATATCGATACTTTGACAACGGACCGACTCGGTTCGCGAGTTCAATTGCTTCTTTTTATCATTAATTATCGTTTCACCGTGGCGAAAAGGAGGGAGAGAGAGAGAGAGGGCGTTATGAAAAGCACTCGAAACGCGGAATTCCCTGCGGAGCACCGGCACAAAGATCCAACCCCTCTTACTGTTTCTCTCTTCGTTTGATCGTTTACTCGTCGTTTTCGCATCGCCTATCGGCAATTGTTTCGACAAACTCGGGGTGGAGCGTTTTTTCTTTGTACTCTGTACTATAACTCTATACCGTTGCTTGCCACCGCATCTCTCCGATTTAATCCCTCCGTGTAAATACAACGTGCAACTCTTTTTAAGCCGCGCTTACGCGCTTTACATATTTTACCGCCTCGCGCAAACACGGGAAAACGAATCGCTCTTCTTCTCGCGCAAAAGAAGATCCCCGATAACACCTGTTCCTCGAACCGCGTTTGACTTCGGATAAGGAACGATGCAACGTCGGGTGCATATTTCGCGCGCTTGAAAAGTTCGAAGTTCGCTTTTTAACGAGCTTAAGACCTCGCTCGGTTAACGAGTAACGATTTACCGTGTTCTTCGCCATATGGCAGCCACCGCGAGAGCACGTGTGCGTTTACGTACGCTCGGATAGGCGTGTACAAATGATCCGTCCGCGAACGTGTACCG